AGCCCTATGAAGATATATATTAGTACGGTTGGTTCAGCCAATTGATTATCAAACTCAAGCTCGCCAATCTTTCTGCGCTGGCAACGGCTCTTGAGTGTTTCGAGATAGACAGGAATCTGTCCGAGATGCATCCAGGCCTATTTCCACACAGAGTCGAAATGGCCAGCTTAGCAAGGGTAGGAACTTACGGGCATGCCGAAGACGGACTTGTCGCCCTGTTTAATGTCGCCCTTAGACATGAAGAAGGTTGTACAAGAGAAAAATGTAACCAAAAAGAAAATAAAACCAAAGAAATAAGAGATGGAGAAATATCAAGAACACTGGGGATGAGAAAAAAATGAAGACAGACGGGGCGGAAGGGGAGAAAAAACTCCCCTACGCAATGGAAGCGAACGCACCCCATCGGGCAGCCTAGGGGCTATATTCACTGATGTAATAGCGTTACATCCTGGCCTTACCGATATTTCCCAAGCCCGAAAACCTCCGCATCCATTTAAATCTGCTTTTACACGGCGATTAAGCTATTAGCTGATGGTGAATCAGCTAAATTGAAGTTGGCTGGGTCCAGCTCAGTATACCATCCAATTCAACTTCATTCAACTATCTTTAATATCTGTCTATGTTTAAAAGTGGCAAAATCATAGTCGAAGCAACGAGAGTCCAAGCGTCAATTGGATTTCGTACCATGCACGGCGTCTCTAAAAGGGTCCAATGTTAGGCCTCCACCGGGCAACTCCGTTTCCCTACCCGAGTATCCGATTCAAACCCTATGGCAAACAAAATCTGATGTCCGCTAGTCGATTAATACCAATAAGATGAAAAGAAAACTTCCTACTTATGGGCGGCGCTTTAGATTGGTCTCGTGCTGCACAAAGATTGGTGTATCAGAATGTCTCGGGCTCTATTTTAGAGCTCCCGGGCTATACTTAGGCCCGATACAATCAATTTATATATCGTTGCCCCTATCTTATGCGTTACTACGAGATGATGACGAGGTGCCTGTTCGCGGAAAAATTCGGCTGCTATGAGAAATTTCACTCGGTGCAGTTATGTAACGAATACAAATCTTCATATGAAGGTCAGCTGGTACCTGGGCAAGACTAGGTACAGGCTAATCATGGGCCGCTTCCGACCCACTTGCTAGCATACCTCCGGCCTTGTGACCTATGTAAAATGTTTCTCCGAAGTTGGCCGACAGTATTAGTCATCTTGGCTCATGGGGCAAAGATGATCACGCGTCGTTACCGTAACCTGCTTATATCCGTTAGAAAACGACGAATTTCCTGCAAACCCCTAAGCGCTATCATGGCTGTATCTGCAGCAAATTTACGTCTCAAGGTAATTATTATAGGGGCCGGTCCTTCTGGTCTCTGCACAGCTGCGGCCTTGAGCCAAGATGGCCATAGTGTCACCGTTCTCGAGCGACGACGAGATACACAGCCCCTTGGGCACGCGGTAGTAATCCAGCCCGCGGCGGTCAGGGCCCTTCAGTACCTCAAAGGGGCGGACAGGGCTTTCAGCAGGGTCAGTGTAGATGCAGGGGCGCTCCGCTGGTGGTCGTATAAGGGTACCAAGCCCTTTGCGACACCCACGGCGGCAGAAGCCTTGTCGTGTGCGGAACGAAGGTTTCAAACTGATCGGCCCTCAGTACAAAAAGTACTACATGAGCTTGCGGTTGCCAACGGCGTCGATTTTCTTTTCGGGAGAGTTGTGCAAGCGGTTGAAGATCTCAAGGTGAAGCCAAGGCTTTGGACAACCCATGGTGAAAACTTTACCGCGGATTTGATTATAGCGGCAGATGGTATGTTCTTTCATGGCCTCAGGGAAGCTGGGTTGAGTGTACTCATAATTGACCAAGCTACATTGATATAGGTATCAAATCTACCACCCGCAAAATTCTTTTCCCCGCACAGGATGTCGATCCAATCCCATTGAGAGAATCTATCTTCCTCACAAGCGCACCTGTTTCTCAGCTTGCTCGGGACGCTCGAGTAGCGCCATGGCTCGAACCGGGAACCAAACATGGCATATTAGGGCCCGATCGGTTTGTTTTGAGTCGGCACACGCACGGTGGTCTCCTCGGAGTGCAATTTATTGACGTCGACCATGCGGATCCGGGCCCGGTGAATGGCAATTGGAATACGCCAGCCGATATTGGTTTACTTCGCACACGATTTTCTGACTTTAACATGATAACGAGGGCATTCTTGGAACATATTCAGCACGCCGAGAAATGGCAGATGGCTACCGGGCCAGAACTGGATACGTGGCGAAGTGCCAGCGGTCGTATCGTGCTGCTCGGGGATGCCGCCCACGCCATGTTACCACATGGCGCACAAGGGCTTAGCCAGGGGATTGAAGATGCTTTAAGTTTGGCTCGCATGCTGCGTCGGGCGTCGAATTCGAGCGCTAAAGGTGTTGGTATTCCCGCTATCACGAAGGCGTGGGTCAACCTGCGTAAACCGCGCACCAACATTTTCGTTAAACAGTCTACAAGCAACGCAAAAATTTGGAGCCTACCGGATGGGCCGGAACAGGTGGCAAGGGATGAGAGGATAAGACGGACGGAGACTCTTCCACCAGCGGATCTCAACCACGTGAAAATGGACATGGCGGCTAGTCGGAAGTCGCCACAATTTCTTAAATGGGCAAGGGATTATGACGTGGTTCTAGAGGTATGTATCAGACCATCGTGATCTGTGTCAACAGATATTTCCCATTCACTTGCCTGGCCGTCACACTAACGACATCATGTTCTCATTCAGGCTGAAAGAGCGATGGAAAAGGTTTTATTGGGACAGAACGCTTCCCTCACAAAGACTTGCCATACTCCATAGCGCAATGGAGGTGATTTGTATGATGAAGCCAAACATGAAATCATTCATCGCTGAAGCGAACGAAGGGGCCATTGGTCTGGGTTGTGTTCTCATAAATTCACTCATAAATATCATATGAACAATAGTATTGACGAACGGTAAACTATAGTGAAACAAATTATACAGGCCAGACTATGTAGACCAACGCTAGCCTTTATCGGCACACCACTTTGTCTGTTCGAGCACCCGAAGTTACATTCCAGGATAAAATTGATCATCATGTTGACTTATGGAGTATAGGCTGCATGGTGCGTGAAATGATACAAGTCTAAACGCTATATACACGACTAAGCTGATAACCATGACAGCTATTTGAACTTTTCACTGGCCAGCCACCTTTTGAGACCTTAATAACACCCGCAATTCTCATCGGTCAAATGCACGAGATGGCAAGTGACGATCTACCTGAATGATGGCAAAAGGAATGGGATACGATGGATAAAGGGGACGATGTGACCGCGGAAAGCCCGGGCCCAACTTGCAAGAATGGCTGGAAGAAGTGTATTTTGACGGACGCCAGAGCCCTGATCTCACAAGAGAGGATATAATGAGGCTTGGAAAACTCATTGGAAGGCTGTTGTGTTTTGAACTGTTGGCAAGAGCATCAACGAGACAGATCCTGGATGACCCTTGATTCAATGAGTAGGCTAGGCTGTGAGTGTTCGTGAGACTCTCGTCCCCAGCTGGGGCCTAACAACTTCCAGAGACATGTTTGATCTTCAACCCTGCATGCCGAAAATGCCTCTAGCGCTCTTTTCTTTTGCACCACCACATTAATACACCATTCAAGGAAGACATCAAATCCTCTCTCGCGGTCTTTTTTGTAGTAATCCCATTACGCCGAATGAATCCCTTGAATTCGGCAAAAAAACTCTACTACTGGGTTCAGGTCCGGCGAGTAAGGTGGCAAATAGATTAGCTTCACACCTGCGTCTTCACAAATTTTTACAAGTCGCTCCGACCGGTGAAATGATGCGTTGTCCATAACGAGGACAAGTTTAGGTTCTGGCCATCGTCCACAATGCTGAAGTAATTGGGCTATAAAGTCTTCAAATACGGTGGCATCCGTAGAACCGCGGAAGACACCGTGTGTGAGAGAACAATCCCATCCTGTGCATAAGCGGGCAATATCTGGTATCTCTGGTCATGATGGAATTGCGTCACTTGCAAGGGGGCCTTGCCAAGTGGTGCCCAACCTGTCCTTCTGAACCCAACGCGTTTATCACATCCAGATTCATCAACATATACGAGGTGGTGCGATTTGAAGTCCGACAGATTATGCAGTTAATAATCTTGCAAATCAGCATCTTGCTCTCTAGCACGTTGGCATGCAGTCTCTTTCGACTAAGCCTTGGCAACAAGGGCTCTCCTAATGCTGGAGGTTGTAACCATGGTCTGAAACTCGTCCCAGAGGAATACAACCATCTCATTGAGGTACAGGCCAGGTTTCTCACATAGATGATCACAGAGGGCTTCGATCATCAGGGGTGTCACAGTTCGTTTCCGACCTATTCGGGTTTGAGGGGCGTGAATACTTCCAAATTGTCGTAGGTTACTGCGGATGTTGATGATGATCAGCTTGTTACATTCAGCCTGTTCCGCCATTTTAGATGTGGTTAAGGACTGGCTCTCTATCATATCACGAATGAGAACGAGCTTTGCAGGGGAGAGTATTGGAGCCATGTCGCTTCGCTTTGGAGTGATAGTGAGCCAAACTGGGAAGACTTGTAACTGCGATGTTTCACGCAGTTGTTGAGTGACGAAAGGGAAGAAGGCCACGGTAGCATGTGTGTGAGCAGTTTCGTGTAAAATACATTCCTCGTGGTCCCAAGATTGTATTGTAAAATACACAGATTTTTATAGAAAGCGGTCTGAAATGAGATCCTTGAAGACTCTATCCAATCAGAGCTCACACAGGACGGATTTATTTTCCGGGAATGAAGTCGCAAGAAGTGTCGAGGTATAACTGATTTCGAAAACTATTGTATGGCTTCCTATCCTGTACATGTATTGTGGTATGACTTTTGCGACTGCCTTGTAACTGTATGAGGAAGCCAAAATCGAACGATCAGATCTCAGAGGGATCCATTGACTCCAAGCGATACAACAAAACATTGCGGAACAATGGCGGGACGGACCGCGATGCGAACCCCTGAACCGCCCGACCGTGACGACGAACGCGAAGATTCACCGCCACGATTGCCGAGGCCGAGACGCACTACCCGACCACCCAATAATCATGCTCGGGATCAAGAGATCGACAACCAGCAGAGAACAACACGGTCCCAACTGAGAAAGAAAACCCAAGACAAGCCAGTAACCCAACGTGAAGCGGTCACTTCGGACGACTCCGCGACGGAGAGCGAAGACCTCAACGCCGCCACACTCGTGAAGGAGCTCATTAAACTCAGGCGAGAGATCAGGCGACGCGATGAATTGCACAAGAAAGAGCTTCAGAAGGTTAAAGAAGAATTTAGCGTTGCCCTGGCCGAAGTCCGACACGAGCTACAGACCCTGACAGATAGACCCTCGACACCGCAATCCCATGCCGAGGCATGCGCTCAGAACAGCCACGATGAGATCCTCCGCGAGATTCAATCCCTGCGCGATGCCATCAGCCCGTCCGTTGACATTGGCTCCCCGTCCTATGCAGATGTCGCCCGCACTCCTCCACTCAGTCACCCGAGCAACGTACGGACGCTCTCGACGTCGAATACAACACCGACCACTTTTACCGACACGTTGTATTGCACAATAGATACCTCGAAGATGACAGAAAATGAAAATGAGAGGATTTCCGCAGGCCCAATCCGGACGGCGGTTGAGACAGAGATTCGGACGATGGAAGGCCACACGCACTGGCGCTGTCGCGCTGTCACCGTGGACCCGAAGAACATCAACCGAATCAGAATAGCGTGCCGCGACGAAGATGAACACCAGCTGGTCAAGAAAGTGGCGGAAGCAAAGATCGGCGCGGGAGCCCGGGTACTCCGTGACGAGCTCTACCCGATCAAAGTTGACAGCGTCAATAAGGCCGCCGTGCTAGATGAAAAAGATGAGATCCGAGCCGAAGCCGCGGCAGCCTTCAGCGAAGAGAATGAAGTTACCGTGGCTAAGATCGCATGGCTTAGCAGAAAGGATAGTGCGAAGGCATAAGGGTCCATGGTCGTTTACCTGACTAAAGGCACTGACGCACGGAGGCTCCTAGCTGACGGGTTCTTTCACGCTGGAGGAGAATCTGGCGTGACCAGTACCTTCGAGTATCGACCTCGACCGATGCAATGTTACAATTGCCAGGAAATTGGACACAAGGCATTCCAGTGCAAGAACACCCAGAAATGCGCCAAGTGCGCCGCGGAGGGCCACCGCCACAGCAGCTGCGACCAAACGGTTCCGAAGTGCGTTCCATGCGGGGGCCCTCATGAATCGTTCAGCAGAAATTGTCAGAAACTCTACCCATCACGACATGAATAAAAGCGTCCGAATCATTCAGCTGAATGTGAGGAAACAGGGAGCAGTACATGACAGTTTGATGAACGATGAAGAGACCCGGGACGCAGTCGCACTAGCGATTCAGGAACCCCAAGCGAGGAGAATCCAAGGGCGGCTCCTGACAACCCTGATGGGACATCACAAATGGACTAAGATGGTCCCCTCCACTTGGAGGGAGGGCCGATGGGCAATCCGTAGCATGTTGTGGATCAATAGGGATGTAGAAGCGGAGCAAGTGCCGATCGAGTCGCCGGACCTGACCGCAGCGGTTATCCGCCTCCCCGAGCGCCTGATATTTATGGCATCAGTCTACGTAGAGGGAGGAGATGCCGCAGCGTTGGACGACGCATGTGATCGCCTCAGAAAAGCAATCAGTAAGGTACGGCAAGACGCGGGAACAGTGGTGGAGATTATGATCGTGGGGGACTTTAACCGCCACGATCAGCTCTGGGGAGGAGACGACGTATCTTTAACAAGACAAGGAGAAGCGGATCCAATCATCAACCTCATGAGTGAGTTCGCTCTCTGTAGCCTGCTCAAACGAGGCACGAAGACATGGCACGGTGGAGGGCAGAATGGGGACTGCGAGTCTACTATCGACCTCGTCCTGGCCTCAGCTAGCTTGACAGACTCGTTGGTCAAGTGCGCAATACACGGGACGGAGCACGGCTCGGACCACCGCGCTATTGAGACCATTTTCGATGCCCCATGGCCAGCTCCACAGCACCCGGAACGACTTTTGCTGAAAAACGCGCCATGGAAGGAAATTAACGCGTGAATTGCGAGCGCCCTGGCCACCACTCCGTCGGGAGGCACGGTGCAGCAGAAAACCGACCGGCTCATGTCTGCGGTGTCGGAGGCGGTGCATATTTTGACGCCGAGGGCCAAACCGTCGCCACACGCAAAGCGATGGTGGACGGTGGACCTAACACAACTCCGTCAGATATACACGTATTGGAGAAACCACGCCCGCTCGGAGCGACGCGCAGGGCGAAAGGTACCACACCTGGAAAATATGGCCGCAAGTGCGGCGAAACAATACCACGATGCTATTCGCAAACAAAAGAAGAAACACTGGAATGAGTTTCTTGCGGACAACGATAATATATGGAAAGCCGCGAAATACCTGAAGTCAGGAGATGATGCAGCATTCGGCAAGGTCCCACAGCTCCTCCGGGCGGATGGAACTATGACCGCCGATCATAAAGAGCAAGCGGAGGAACTACTGACCAAATTCTTCCCGCCACTGCCGGACAGAATTGACGATGAAGGGATCAGGCCGCAGAGAGCGCCCTTGGAGATGTCCGCCATCACTATGGAAGAGGTCGAACGACAGCTGTTGGCGGCAAAGTCTTGGAAAGCACCTGGTGAAGATGGCCTACCAGCGATAGTGTGGAAGATGACGTGGCCCGTGGTCAAGCACAGTGTTCTTGAACTATTCCGGACGTCGCTGGAAGAAGGCGCGGTGCCTAGGCAGTGGAGACATGCAAAGATTATACCACTCAAAAAACCGAACAAAGAGAACTACACCATCGCGAAGGCCTGGAGGCCGATTTCACTCCTCGCGACACTGGGCAAGGTACTGGAATCAGTCATCGCAGAAAGAATCTCACACGCGGTGGAAACTTACGGCCTGCTTCCGACCAGCCATTTCGGGGCCCGTAAGCAACGGTCAGCGGAGCAAGCACTCTTACTTTTACAAGAGCAAATCTATGCGGCGTGGCGTGGCCGACGGGTCTTGAGCTTGATCAGCTTCGATGTCAAAGGAGCTTACAATGGGGTCTGTAAGGAACGATTACTCCAGAGGATGAAAGCGCGAGGGATCCCGGAGGCCCTGCTTCGGTGGGTCGAAGCGTTCTGCTCGGAGCGAACGGCGACCATCCAAATCAATGGGCAAGCATCAGAGGCCCAAAGCCTCCCACAGGCCGGGCTGCCTCAGGGCTCACCCCTGTCCCCAATCCTATTCCTCTTCAACGCAGATCTCGTACAGCGACAGATCAACGGCCAGGGAGGAGCGATTGCCTTCGTGGATGACTTCACCGCGTGGGTGACCGGACCGATCGCACAGAGCAACCGGCAGGGTATTGAAACAATCGTCAATGAAGCACTCGACTGGGAAAGGAGAAGTGGAGCGACCTTTGAAGCAGAGAAAACCGCCATTATACACTTCGCCCCCAAGGCCCACAAATCGGACTCGGAGCCATTTACCATTAAGGGAGAGACCGTTGAACCCAGAGACCATGTCAAGATTCTTGGCGTCATCATGGACACAAGACTCAAATACAAGGAACACATTGCGAGAGCGGCGTCCAAAGGCCTGGAAGCAGCGATGGAGCTGCGACGGCTTCAGGGTCTATCCCCAGCAACAGCACGACAGTTATTCACCTCGACGGTGGCCTCAGTAGTGGACTATGCCTCCAATGTCTGGATGCACGCTTTCAAGAATCAGAGCGTCGGGCCGATCAACCGAGTACAAAGGGTAGGAGCGCAGGCGATTGTCGGGACATTCCTCACAGTTGCAACCAGCGTAGCGGAAGCGGAGGCTCACATCGCCACGGCGCAACACCGGCTCTAGCGACGAGCTGCGAAGATATGGACAGACATGCACACCCTACCAGTGACCAATCCCCTCCGTAGGAGCACAGCTCAGATCAAGAAATTCAGAAGATACCACCGCTCGCCGTTGTATCAGGTCGCAGATGCGCTGAAAAGCATTGAGATGGAAACACTGGAAACCATCAATCCATTCACATTGGCACCATGGGAGGAACGTGTACAGGGCGATGGTCAGGATTTACCAGAGACACAGACCGAAACGGGCGGAGTCATGCGGATCGCGGTCAGCAGTTCGGCGCGGAATGAGATGGTAGGATTCGGCGTGGCGATTGAGAAGCAGCCCCCTCGGTACCGAAAACCGAGGCTGAAGACCTTCTCCGTCCCACTGGGTGCAAGAACTGAGCAGAACCCATACTCTGGGGAGCTGGCAGCAATGGCACACTCACTGAACACGCTACGCGGACTGAAACGGTGCAGAGTCATGCTGCTCACGAGCAATAAAGCGGCGACACTTACGCTGAAGAACCCCCGTCAGCAGTCGGGCCAGGAACACATCTGCCAGATATACAAGTTGATGCAAAGACTACGGAGACACGAAAACCGGATGGACATCCGCTGGATTCCAACTAGCGAGAAGAATCAATTGTTGGGCCTGGCGAAAGAACAGGCCAGGGACGCAACGCAAGAGGACACTATCCCACAAGCACAGGCCCCCCGAATGAAGTCGACCACCCTGAACATTGCACGATCCCAAGTCGCAGCCGGTCAGTGCTTGCCGGAGAACGTTGGCAGATATTCCAAACGAGTGGATGCAGCGCTCCCAGGGAAACACACCCGGAAGCTGTACGATCGATTATCGTGGAAAGAAGCGAGCGTGCTGGCTCAACTCCGGACTGGCATGGCTAGATTAAACGGATATCTCTATCGGATCAATGTCGCAGAGACGGAACAATGCGCCTGTGGACAAGCAAGAGAGACCGTGGAGCACTTCCTCTTTCGATGCCAGAAGTGGACCACGCACCGGACGGAAATGCTGCAATGTACCCATACTCACCGAGGCAACATTTTTTTTTTCCTGGGCGGAAAATCGCCTTTGGATGGCCAGAACTGGAAGCCAAATTTGGAAGCAGTGCGAGCCACTATACGGTTTGCAATCGCCACGGGCCGACTCGACGCCACTTAACCGTGTCGACCGACACAAATTAACCCTACCTCGCCCCAACCCCAATCTAGCCCCCCACCAGCTACCTTGTGCCAGAGACGGTAGACGCGCTTCAATTGCCGAGGATAGGATGTTGAACACTTGGAGAAGCGCCTTCAAGCAAGTCTACTAACCAAACACTAATCCACAAGGTCCCGCTAAAATATTGACATCTGAGATGACATATACTGAAAGGAATCTTGTATGGGCTCCAATGAGGCACCGCATTAGCTAGAGCATGTATATTTAGATCAGTGATAGTTGCCCTTTCGGTTCAGCCGCCGGGCGTTAATGAAGTGAGTGTGTGTGTGTGTGTATGGCTTCCTTGGTTGTTTCTCGACCGCCACTCCAAACCCGACCAGCTCATTCCGCACCGAGCTCCTGACCGCGATTTGCATTGATCCGCCTGGTACAGTTGATCCCTCGGTAATGGGCTCATCAATCTGCATGCGTGCTTCCCATGGTGCCAGTGTAAACGGGTTGATGGTTTCCAGTGATTCCATGTCGATATTCTTAAGCGCGTCCGCTACTTGATATAGTGGCGAGCGGTGGTATCTCCTGAACTTCCGGATTTGATCTGTGTTTCTGCGAAGAGGGTTGGTTTCTGGTAGTGTGTGGAGGTCTGCCCACGTCTTCACGGCTCGTCTCCAGAATCGGTGTTGTGCCGTAGCAATGTGGGCCTCGGCCTCCGCTACGCTGGTCGCAACTGTGAGGAATGTCCCCACAATTGCTTGTGCTCCTACCCTTTGCACTCGGTTGATCGGTCCGATGTTCTTATTCTTGAATGCGTGCATCCAAACATTAGAGGCATAGTCGACCACCAGAGCCACGGTCGCTGTGAAGAGCTGTCGTGCGGTCGCTGGGGAGAGGCCTCGGAGCCGTCGTAGCTCCATCGCGGCCTCCAGGCCCTTAGATGCTCAGTCGCCGGGCGTTAATGAATTGTGTGTGTGTGTGTGTGTGTGTGTATGTGTATGGCTTCCTCCATCACATATCTTTCTCACTCCTGTGGTATCGCCTCGCCATTTTCATGGGAGAAATTGAGAATTCTACGACCGATCATTACAAGTCTTCTTTTGATGTGAGACTCTACCATGCAGACCATGTCAGCATCCTCAGACTGTGGGATAGTAAAGGAGGAGTTAGGGCAAGGTTTGATGGTTTGAAGAAGTCCCAGGCTGACGCCCTGGAATTTCTCAATTTCGTGACCGGGTTCAAGTTCCCCCATACTTATGACGGAGTGATAGCTGGGACGGTAGGTTGAATGTTAGTTGGCAGCTTCTTTTCACCTTGTATGGCCCTAACAAAAAAAAACGAACTGTAAGTTTTTCCATCACGGTTTCCTTTGTCACAACCTCTGGAACAGCTTTCTCTAGATTGACGCCATATCAGTTGAAATGCTCTCTACATGTATTGATCGCTCCTCTGACCCGAGGAATGAGACTATGGATAAGTTTTTCTTTCTCTGGCACAATTGAATTTAAACTAAAAAAAAAGAAATCCAGCAAGTCAGTATAAAATAGTTTCTAGTAAGCCGATGTCGCCAGCAACATAGACCTGTGACATCCATGTACATCACTGAAGCTGATATCAAAAGCCTCTGTAGATGGCAAGCGCCGACAGCCCAACATGCCCTTATCTTCAAGAATCGTCTGCAGCACAAATATATTCATCAATGGCACCCGTCAGACTGACTGTCATAGACCTCTCATCTCTATCCAGTCTTGAGCTATTGGGGAGACAATGGTGATGTGAACTCAGCGACCTTGGGTCAATCTGCAATGAAGAGCCTCCATGGTTTGGCGGTAGTGTGTAAGGCTTGGAGTCTCTTAAAAGACAGGGATCCCTTGGCTGTTTCCAACTTCTACTGCGTTGTTCGCAAGCATTACCTTCCGGTGGACCAACCAGAGGGCGTCAGCGATAGTTTTTTGGACGGCCAGTTGATCCCTACTCAAATTATTCCAGTCCTCTTCTTCGGCCTTTCGAGAAAAAAATTCTGTTTTGCTGAATGTGATGGGATCACTGCCCAGTTGCGGGGTCTTTGTACTCACCGGTTTCTCGGCAGGCGGATTTGAAAGGACTTCTGGACGCTGCTCAGGCACGACGGAGAGACTCGGGTAATCAATATCCTCTTCCTTGACTTCTACCGCACCATCGTATGGAGGGTGTGCCTGGACGGCTGGTTCTGAGAAGTCGATGATCGTAGAGGTTCTTGGACTCCTTTTAAGCTTCGATTGGGGGTGCACGGCTTCGATGGATGACTTGGGAGTGGTCGAGTGTGTACGAGATCTTTTCTCGCGAACAAAAACGTTCAGCGGACAAACAGAAGGGAGGCGATCGGGACTGCCACGTCCAGCACCGTTTTCGTACAAGTGATACCGCTCTTCTTGTTTATCCCAAGCTTCGCTTATCGCGTCCAAGATCATCTCGGCCTCAAATAAGCCGTCAAGGTCGGATTTGGGAACCCAGGCGCAGCCGTCTGAGAGGTAATTCTTTTCATCGTCTTTGGCGATATCAATAAACTTGACTTTGAGGTATGTCCGAGGTGCTGTTTTGTACACGCGATCTGGATCCCGCCCCTCCTGGACCACAACGCCCACAATACCCTCGATATTTTCTACTGTATAGCGACGATGTCTTTTTCCATTGTCGTCTCTGTCCCAAATTTGCGTGATTCGAGAATTTTTATCCGAGACCTCAGGGAGCTTTTTCAGGTTATACCCCTTTGCGGATCGGAGCATGTACTTGGCCGCTTTCAGAGGACCGTGTCGGACGATCGCTTTTCTTGAGAAGCCAGACGAGCACCAGGCTTCTGGTACACCGCCGTAGAGGCTGTTTCCAAGGGACATTTTCCGAAAGCTGACGAGGATGCCGTCGTCTTCTCTCGCAGTTTCATCTATCGCTCTCGGCCCCGCGCTGTTCGCGGATGATTCCGATCCAAACTCATCAGTAACCTCTGCCATAGGCGTGTCATTAGGCTCGACAGCATTATTCTCAATGGGCTGGTTGGGTACGCGCTGGTCTTCCTATGAGTCAAATGGGGGTTTCGAATGTGGATCTACCGCTTCTTTGCCATTGGCAGGATCCGGTTTTCTGATTTGTGCTTGAGCGTTGACGCTCTCAACTTTTGCATCAGATATGTTTCCACTGCTGGCAGCTTGGTCAATTTTTTGTAGCTTGTCCGCAAGCTCAGGCTTCTTTGACCTGGTGTCGTGGGTCCTGGGAGGAATCCCATTGCTTTTAGAAGTTGTTCCTTGTCCGGCCATGATGCACAAAGACTTTGATGCTCTCTGACGATGAACAGTACGGCACCAAAAGACCGAGCGCTAAGCTTCTATTTATACCTCTAAGCACAAAGTGGTCTTGTCTTTGATTCTCCAGGAGATCCATGCCGTTCCTCATGAACCGAAGGCCGCCTGCCTCATTGATTGTTGCTATCTTCAAATATAAGTATTCTTCGCCCCTTCGAAAGATGGCGTTAAATCAACGTTCAAGAAACTCGAACGGTCAACTTATTGAATTTCTTACACTGCGTTGTATATTTTGGTTCATAAAGTTGCACCCAATCTTATTGATGTGGTATACAAGGAGACTCTTGTGACTTGTTGCTAATGACTTTGGGTGACTATCCTAGATGGTGCCCGTGCAATAATAATGCGTACCCCAAGCTCCTATTGAAAAAGAGTACTCTTTTACCGTTTCAAACCTCCCTTTGAGCAACCGTGGATGTGGTAAGTATGCGTGAGTGCTGCGGTCTTGCTGCCACCCACGTCATCAACAAGTCAAACACCGTTGAAGCAGCCCGTTGAAATTGCCCCTTGAAAAAGCCAATACTAATACTCGCACCACTTTCTCCATCGAGCAAATTCTGGAGGTGGCATTAAGGTAAAGCAAAACCACGATAATCACGAAACGAGCATGGAGACTCAACACTCGATCAGATACATTTCTCATTCCCTTCTTAACCTATGATGAAGATTTCCAGACACTGACTTACTTCCAATGTCTCTATGTGTCTATGGAGGAGGGGCAACAATTTGATATACTTGATCGATCCTCTCCTGTCAATAGTACTAGTCTTTAGCTTCCACGAAGAATTTAGAAGGGAGGATGCGGTCGATGGGCTGACCGGGTGGTCGGTCGGCCACGGGTGCTTGTTGATTTTGACAAAGAGACACTGCTCAGTTGACAGTGACGCCCGGGGGCCCGGGAGGGATGGACTTGGAGACGTCAATTGCAGTAGTAGATATGACCTTTCATATGAAGATTTAGTACGTGAAGATTCCAACGGCCTAATACTGCTTTGCAGAGAACGTAAGGAAACATCTTGGGTCTGGACCATCTGAGTGGATGATCACCACACCTCGTCCGATAATTCATCTCGTTTCTCACAGCCCTTTGACCTGAGATTTGGCCCTGATCCATGCAATTGAACAGACACCGAGGAATTCGTGTCGCTGATAATTCCCCCTTGGCTTCGATTGAAGCTCTGGGATAGCTAGTCGGATAGTCAGAGCGCCGTCGTGTGTCTGCTTGGGCCCATTACAGCCAAAAGTAGGCAAAGGAAGAAGGCAATCGCCTGGCGGCTGCTAACAGGAAAATGTGAAGAATCATTTGGACCTTGGTCCATCGGAGCAGATGATCACGACCCCTTGTCCGGAGAGCTCTTCTTGCTGCTTGTAACCCATCAGGTCGGAGATTGGCCGTGGTTCATATGATTGAATCAACACTCGTCTGATGATAAATTCATGTCGCCACATGGTTCCTCTTGGCAGCTCCGGAGCAGACAATTGGATGGTCACGCCGCCTTTGCCGATGGGCTCCGCTGTAGTCCGGGCTTTCAATGCACATTGTTTATCTCCTTCAGTTTGCGGCAGACCTCTCTCGTGAGGAAGAGCTTTGCTCTGGATGCTGCCGACGTCGAAGGCAGAAATCCCGCGGGTAACGTAGGGGTCGTTTGTTCCAGAATTTGTCGAGATCAATAGGTTGCCAACGTCATTCTTCGTGGAGAGCATTAGATGAGATGGTGAGAGAAATGGTCGGGTATCTTCAAGAGTATCAAGGACCAAAGGGGCATCTACGTTTTGCTGATAGAGCCCGGAGAAATTGGCTGGCCCGATTTCCTCGACTGGCGGAGATGCTAAGTTGGACTTATCCTCGGGGCGTTCTATCGACTGGCAATTCCATTTTCGCTGGGAAGGGGCTGCAACAGGTTATCAGCAGCCGGAATAAGCTTCTATACCAGCGTATTTCACTCACAAGGAGGGAATATCTCATCATAGAAAGCTTGAACGCGCCCACAATCCGGTCTTCGGCAGTGATCCCAATGATCAAAGAGCGCAGCCAGTTCATGACGGATGAGATCACATACTGAAGGAGCTGGCGAGCAATCGCTTGTACTCATTTTTGCTGCCGCTCTCTAGGAGACTGAAGAAAGAAACGTAGAGAATTAAATGAGTGAGATGACTCTTCTTCTTTGGGAGCTTTTTATGCCTGTATTTATAGTGCTATTCTCGCCCTGGTCGCTCCAGGCTGGTATCTGCTTGCGTCATGGTCAATCATCCTGTCCCGAGGTGATTTGTGACTGGAAATCGGGTTCGTTGCCGCCAATCTAGATCGGCTGACCTTGTTTGAAACCAAAGGCTAGCAATCATAGCCACACCGCTTATACTAGAGACAACCCCACAGTTGCCAGGCCTTTCTTACTGTTTCTGGGAGCTCCTGGGAAGCCCACCTGCCATATTAGGGACGCTCATCAAAGCTATGGCTCTAGCCACGTCGCGATCCACACTACCGCCCTTGTGCCTCCGCCTGATTGGTAAACGTACACGAAATTTAAGTTTGTTCTTCTGTATTTTCTATCTGTCCACTACAGTACCTGCATAGAGCATTTGGTCCAATGTCCACATCTATAAGTGCGTCGTCCTCCGCAGTCAAGGGGCGACTCGATTGTTGGCGAGGAACTCAAGCATCTCGGCCGTCGAAACGAAGAACCTTTGCGGATCCTAGAAGCTCTCGATACGGGGCAGCTAGGTGCAGTCAGTTGATCGATGATCTCCTACGAGGATTTCCACCAGCGGCTCTGATGAGATCAGCGCAGCGGGGCGCGAGTCACTACGTTCGCTCCTGATAAGGCTCTCGTACCCGATAAGCCCCCAATGATATCTTCATCTCTCGGCACGTCAGCCTTTTGAAAAGTTCTGTTATGCTGAGATACATCGACGGTGAGGCTTGCGCCGTAGTCGCTGCATCCAACCCTGTCGACTGGTCCAGCACTCGACGGACCGAGCTTCGTTCGCACTTTGCTGCGAGCTCTGATATCTCTCATCAAGTTTTTGGGTGGTTGCATGGCGAGTCTCCGGCCCAGTATATGTGCGCCTTACTTGAAGAGTAGTCCGTGTTTGCCCGCGTGGGGGCTTCCTTGGAAGCCTTTGAAGCTCAGCAGCTTTTTCGAAGCACGGCTTAGGGTGCATCGCCTCGTGCCGGGGTGGTCTCTTGTACGGTTCAATACCGAGTAGATGAAGAGTATCGGGCGCACTCGCACCTCTGCGTGCAGATGAGCGAGAAACACGGGCCATGAACCACGGGGATCAGTTTGAAAAGGTGTTTTTCTTAAAACATTCGAAACTTATCAAGCTATATATCTAACTTCTGGGTTTTGCGATGAGGTGGGCTGCGGATGGAGTCCACAACAGGTGAATCTGCACTCACTTCCTGTCGATGTATCATTGCCTCTTTCCCTCGGCGGCACCAGCTTCTACTTCCCCATTTACTTTCCATCTCGCGAGGACATTGGCTTTTCTCCACACCGTTGGAGTTGTGTGGATTTTAACGGTCTGGGGCTTCAAACGTTTATATCAAACGAAGATTGCATTATGGCTCTCATTCGCATTTGTTGCGTAAGATTTGTTTGTTCACCTCACAGTCTTGCTTTTCGGTGAACGAGCTGTCAACGTTCAGATTAGGAGCGGTGACCGTGTTAACGTTGAATCAACAATCTAATTGCTTCCCTAGCGCTAGACCATTTATTTACCTGCCCCAACGAACGGTGGGTAGTATTCTCAATTATCTGCCCCAATACAGGTATTTTCAAGGAAGCTTTGTTTCATGGCCACATCTATAAGTATTTGATCACAGCTGCGAGCGAAGGACCGAGTGTGTTGTTTGCTTAAAGATTCTGCACTGCAAGTCCACGGCTCGATGAAGCAGTCTGTTGATCAACCCTCTTTGGAGAGCAGTGACCGCTCTTTGGACGAAGTGCAGAAACAAGCAAGCGATCAATTGGAGCGTGAGCTGCGCGAAAGCCGAACGAATGTGCATGATCAAAGTTTGTGCCGTCAGCAGACCATCTCACTCAGTATTTCTCCGAATTACGTGAAGCAGTGGAATACGACTGCCGCATTTCGGGAATTGTATCAGAACTGGTAGGCTCCCTCCATTGAGACTGGCAAAGATCTAACCAAAACAGGAAAGATGCGATCCTGGAAAGGTTTCAGCTCGAGCGTCGGGATTTCCAGCCGTGTTACGAAAACAAACGTGACTGCATATCCATCATTGTACCGGAACCTTCCGGGCCGCATGGACGCGGCCAAGCTTTGGGGTTTATTAAGTATGAGAAGAAAGCAGGACGTGTGATTCTGGCGAATTCCTGCGCTTCGCTTCGGCCTGACGATCTTCAGCTTGGACAAACGTCTAAGGAGGGGAGCCACTATCTTGCCGGATGCCGTGGAGAAGGACTCAAGTTAGCTGCCGTGGTGATGTCTCGGAACGGCTATAAAACGCACATGGCCGCGGGTGGCTGCGACTGGAGCTTCCGAACACCGGGGCCCACGCGGTCCCAATTTTCTTGTGTGATTCGCCCATCTAGAAACGCTACCTCCAGCCTCCACACGGGCCCAACCAGCGACATGGCGCAATTACGCTCGCATGTCGAGAGGGACGTCACGATCACCATTGGTCCAGAACGCAACAGGAAGCGGGACAAAATCTCCTTGGAGCTGTTCAAGAAGTGGCTGGGGGCGACTCTTGATATTCGCGGGTTCTCTTACCCTTCACACATCATTGAAACTGAAGCGGGAGACATCATTCTCGACGCATCTTTCCACGGTAAAGTGTTCTATAAAGGAATACTTCTGTCAGGATCGGTCTCCGAGGCCGAGTCCTTTAAGCTTGGATATAATTTCCTAGCCGGTACGGTTAATCGCGACCGGCAGAGATTGGTCGACAAGCAGGAAGAAGCCAATATCGTCCGGCGGATATGGGAGGCGGCCATCGGTCAGCACGAAGAGTCTATGCTGCCCATCTATGTCAATCTGCTTCGGAATTCCCCTCGTGCACTAGACGTGGCATTGGCCGAACGTCTCCTGGAAGCTCCCACGAGGTCTCTGATCTGGAAATATCTCCTGCAAGAGGCAAATGGAGAGCGGTTCTACTACAACGAAGCGTCTCATGCTAGGGTCAGTCACATCAATAGCCCCATCTGTGACTCCAATAATTGACAATCACCAGGATGTGGAAATAATCCGCCATGTTTTGAGAAAGGAGCCTGTCAAACTTCCGAAATCATTGTGGGACTTACTCCGACCAAGCTCTGCAATCAGAACAGCAGAGGAAGAGCAGATCAGCACGTTTCAAAATGCCCCGGGCTGTTCAACTCCCAATTCCACTTTCTCAAGGACAGTCCAAAGGGTCCTGAAAGCATGCATGGCTCTATCCGATTGCACGAAGCATATCGAGGTTTTCTTTGTCCATGTTAATGACAGCGCCATCGACACCTTTTTCGACCTCGAGCATCAAATACTCAAGGTCCACCACAGATGGTTGGATTTTGATGCCATGCACCGCAAATACCCTTGTCGGGATCTATTGCCGAGCAACCTGGCCGGGGCCGACGCGCCATTCTTCTGCGATCACATCATTGAGGAGCTCTTGCGAAAGGCGCTCCCTGCAATCTTCCGGACTGCTCCCATGTCAAGGACTACTGAAAATGGAATCTTGCGACAGATCAGACACCGTCTGAGGCATATGCCCCATAGCATCATGTCGAAACCAATGCCTCAGAACCAGGGGTGGATGGTTACTTGGGAAGACAACGAGACAGAGTCGTTTCGGAAATCGTGTCGGTCCCGAGTGGCATACCATGTCGTGCTGCATGAAGAGCGATGTGCCAGTGTACAGTCCGAATTACTGCATGGGGATGCGGGTAAGTCTCTCTCCAGCGAAATGCTGGAGTCGTGCTCTTTCAGAACGGGCGACAACTCATGTTTCTTCACTAGTTACGTGTGCGGAAGGGCGTGCTTCATGCGGTTGTCCAGCGCAGTTAACTTCGCAGTGCAAGAAAGGGGTGGTGTTTGCCGACTTGGACTGCTCGAAAAAGTACTTTCCCATGATTGCCTTGAACCAGAGATCGGCGTTCTATGGGTATCCGCCAGAAGCGACGTTTCCCAGCGGATGGGTTGAAGCCCGGGATCTCGCGGATGCAGTGTCCATTCGCAAGCAACAGGATGCACGTATGCAGTCTTTCCCGTCTTGGATAGAGTCTGGACCTCCAAGCCCAGCGGCATCTCCGCATCAGCCGCAGCAATTGCTTCCCCGTGTTCAGCAAGCACAAAGCTCGGATATGGCGCGGGAACTCTTCATTCGACAAACCAAGCGACAGAAGAAAAATTGAAGAGCAATTAAAATTAATTGTTCTTAGTTTGATATCCTCAAAAATGGACGCACGGATGTATTAATGCCTGAGGCACAGATTTGCTAGATTAGGTTAGTCACGGTCGCAAGTAAACAACCGAACGCGCAACGTCACCTCGTGACTCGGTCCTGACACTCCTTAGGCCATGCCGTGTCTCTGGAAGCGGCGGGACATCTCCTGCTCTACTCTTCCATCTACGGCCAGCGCCAGTCATGGACGACGCGAACACGATCGCTGAGTTACGTCGTCAGCTCGAGGAACAACGACAGCTCCGAGAAGAGGCAGAGCGCCTACAGGAAGCGGAGAAACATGCGCGAGAAGAGGCAGAGCGCCTACAGGAAGAGGAGAAACAGGCGCGAGAAGAGGCAGAGCGCCGACTGGAACCCAACACCCTTGTTGGGCTTCTCGATCGGTGTCACCGCTCTCTGTCAAAATCCATTCAAATTGAAACCAATGCGACACTGACAACCCAGGGAACTGTGACGGACCCGGTCAATCGGCTCTATCCAAAACGAATCCTCCCGTGGCTTGACTTTCCGCGGCTTCAGGAAGAAGTCTGGGCAAAACTCGAGGGCGCCGCCTCTTTTGCCTCGCGTCCGCTGTTTCCATCAAATCATCAGCTAGACTATGTTGCTGCCAACATCCAGGACAAGCCGATCTACTCCGAGGCCTCTCTCCGGAACTTCCAACGCGATACGGTGGAGAACTTCGTCGAAATGATTATCGAGGCGTTGAGGGCCGATGAAACTTTGGGGCGCGAGCTTTGCCTCCACGGACGAGTGGCCTTTTATGATCGTGTGAATCCCTCGGAAAACACCGGAGGCTCGCTGGAAGAGAGTCTAGAGCATATGCGTGTCGATGACGCGTTGCCTTCACGGCGGCAGCGAAGAGGTCGCGGAAGGGGGAGGAAACAAGTACAACAAACACGTCCTGCAAGGCGGCGGAATCGTCGCGCCGATCAGTTCTGCGTGCACGTCATTTCGAACGAGCGCCAAGTGCCGGCGTACGTGGTGGAATTCAAAGCGCCGCACAAACTGACCGAGCCTGAGTTGGTAGCCGGCCTACACGAGGTCGAATTAGAGCGCGATGTGATCGGGAAGGAAGGCGATACTTTTGAGTTTCTTGCCACTCTTCTCGTCAGCGCCGTGGTCACCCAAATCGTCTCGTATATGTTCCACACCGGGGTTCGAAACGGATATATCTGCACTGGAGAGGCCTATGTGTTCCTCCATATCCCCGAAGACCCCACAGTTGTGCTATATCATCTCTGCATCCCCAATAAGGATGTCCAGGCTGATGATGAACACCGCCTCCACCGGACAGCTGTGGGCCAAGTCCTCGCATTCACACTTCAGGCGCTGGCGGCCGAAACCCCCTCACAAGAGTGGTTCGATTCCGCACATGAAAAGCTGTCGACCTGGGAGGTTGAGTACCTGGACGTGCTTCGGGACATTCCGGAAACGATTCGTAAAGACCCGCCACCTTCCGTCTATCGACCATCGTCATGGACTAGGTCGCAGAAATCACACAATACGCGATCCCGTGCCCGTTGCAAGCCGGGCCAGTCCACACCGAGGGCATCGTCAAGGGAGGGTGGTGACAGTGATGAGGAGCCGAGCTCGCCATCCGCTACGGCAGCCGCTCGCAGTCGGTCAAGTCGTGGCAAGGAGAGCAAAAGCCAAGCTCTTCGAAAGACGCAGGGCAGGAATGCCGGTCGGGGAAATGGCGGATCTTCTTCACAGAAACGAGGGCAAATCGGCCGGCCATTTTGTACCGTGGCCTGCATCCGTGGAATGGCCTACGGGGGAGCCTTGGACCGGGAATGCCCAAACTCACACGACCATGGCGCTCAAGGGCATTCAATCAACGCGCGAGTATTTACGCGCAAGCTTCATGACCAACTTTCACGGAATCGAAACGAGGGCTTTGAACCATTGCATATCCGTGGTCGAACAGGCTATCTCATGAAGGCGACTTTATTGGAACATGGATACACCGTGCTTATCAAAGCGACAATAGCGGACAAGGAACATTACCTCCGAACGGAAGCAGCTCACTACCGTTATCTCCGAAGACTTCAAGGCCATCAGATCCCTGTCTGTGTTGGGAACTTTAAACCACGCGTTTCATATTGGTATCAAGGGGAGCCGATGGCCCATATGATGATTCTGAGCTGGTCTGGGACCCGGCTTCAACATGTCATCAATGAAGGAAATCAGGTCTTCTTCAACAAAGAGCGCGCAAGAGTCCTGGGCGTCCTCCACTCAAATGGGGTGGTCCACAGGGACACGGAGTGGCGGAATATGCTATGGAATGACCAGGAGGGCACTCTGGTTGTCATCGACTTGGAGGACGTGGAACGGCTCAGGCGGGCACGGCCGCTCGGTGCCAGCTCTGGCAATCGAGTTCCGGGCAAGCACCGCCTCCCTAGCCGGAAAGTTGGCCAAGTATCTTCCCAAAGCGCGGCCATTTGTGTATGATAAAAAGCCTATGGAACGTAAATGAATGCATGACTTGAATGTTTTTCTATCTGCATTTGTAGATCGAGACGCGCGCAAGTTGACTGAAATCAAACAAGTACAATCATAACCTCCTTCGTTGACAAAATATGCGCACCTGTCAAAAGACCCGCCTTGCTACCTTTCAACCTGCTCTGCCAAGGGCACATTGCCGATGGGGTTTGGGGCGCAGCCGTCGCAGCCAATTCAACCGACCCTCGCCCGTGGTAGGTTTATCTCGGTGCTCTTTGCGCTCTGAATCCTTCTGTTGTGAAGTGGATGTCTTGAAGGGCGTCCACCATGCCTCTGGGCCAACGTAATCGTGCAACAGCCGCAGTGGAAGAGTGGTTTGTGCCTGGTCGTAGAGCGGTTGGTTCGGTTTCTTTCCGGACACTGGTTTCTGCTTGTTCCGTTGCCACGAGCGTTTCTCATGGGCATGTTCCAGCAAGGGCGTAGTGTCGGTAGCGTTGTCTCTGCTTCCGTGCCTTGCCCGGCGGGGAACACGTGCCATTTTCTGGGCAGCGACCGATGTTAAGATACTGGTAACACGCGGGGATGATATCTCTTATTTATCCTGAGTTCGTGCACCATGATTTTCGGAGTTTGCGAGCGTTTAAGCCCTCAATCGGCTCATGTTGTTGCAGACACACCTCGAATTCACTCTCGGCGCGTATACCGGCGATTGCTTACCGAAGCGAGGTAGGGTGGGGGTGAAATAGAGGTCAGAAAGCTGTAAGACGCTTGCGGTATTCGACCCTCACAGCGGCAATGTTTGATAGGATTCACATCATTCGACGGGAAGATGAGTACTCGGCACCTGCAACGTTTAAACGGTGATGTGGGTCTCGGAGAACGGTCGGGTCCCAGCCAGAGGCATCGTTACAGTAGAATATGAACAAACGAAAAACAAAATTGGTGAGATTTGATCATGTTAGTGCTCGACCCAATACGAAAGGGACAACGGATAAAAGGAAAAGCATAATCTTTCACCCATCCAAGGGTCACAATGGCTATGTCAAGCAACGAGAAGCGCGCATTAGAGAGGACAAAATGCCGAGAAGCTTTGGCGGCGCACATCCGTGAGTCCCTGGTTTAGTCCGGTTCCACTGGGAAAACTGACAATCCCCAGGTTTGCGACTTGGTCTCGTCGTGGCTCCCAATCAGGTCCGTCTCCAACCACGAGCCGAGGACGGATACGCCTGGTCTGTAACCGAGCCCAACAGGCATCTGTTGCAGTCAAGCCTCAGTGGTGGAAACGTCCGCCTGTACCGATCAATATGCGATGAACTCGGCCGGTCGCTCGAGGCTGTTACGCCGGAGACCTTACAGACTTCTCCTTCCAACCAGGAAACCAATGCAGAGGAGGTGAGAGAAAATTATCCTTGGGACCCTGCTTGTGCTTATACTTCCAAAACAGCCGCCGCGTGCGGATGATCGGGGAACTGTATCGTTTACTGCGCAGATCCGCGATTTGGAATCTGCAAATCGCGATCTGGCGGTTGAGCTTGATCGGGCCCGCGGCCGTCTACAGGAGTCAGTGAGCGAGTGCCGTCATTTGAAAATCGAAACCGCTCGGCTTCAGGATCAACTCCAGGCCAGTGATTCCCAGGCAAGAGACCTTGAGGTCGAGTTAGCTCGTGTGAGAGCAGGAGTATCCGAAGCGATGCAGGTCTTATCACGAGGGAAAAGCGAGTCCGATCAACCAGACCCCGATGCCTGAGGATCAGAGAGGACCGACGCGGGGTGATCGCGGTACGGATTCCAAGACCGACGTAGCGTGGCGCGCCAGGTTATCTCCCGATTGCCGGATCACGCCGAGCAGGACGACTTGTTGTGGATGATGTTCTGGCCGTCATGGAGAGGAGACATTCCGCACTTCCTCGGTTCAATTAGCATTGCGAATGAAGACGTCGCTCTTGACGAACAAAGTGTCACTATTCGCAAACACAATCGATGTAGTTGGCATTTTGCATGGCCCGAAGTGGTTGGTTCGTCATGTGGTTTTGTCGCCAATCAAAGACACTTGGGTGGAGTGTCTGGGTTGAACCCCCTGCCGCCAGGGGTTGAACCCCACGGGTAGGGAACAGCATTTGGTATCAGCTCAACCGCGCCGATCGCCGGGAGCAACGCGTTATGTCGCATATTTTTAGAGCTAGTATATTCAACTGATCTCATAGCGAACCTCTGGTCACGAATGAGTCACCTTGATGGATAGAATGGTGATTTTGAATGATAGCTTTGAGTTTCTGGTGATAGTATCGTAATATATATATAGACGCTGCACTCTTTCTATGTTTCATGGATACACGCAACAACTCCACAGCGAAGATAGAACAGAAAATGTCGTATATACAATTCAAGCCTCAGCATTAATGCAGCTCACCATACAAAGAGAAACAACAAAATGAAAAAGCAAGCGGCGTCTGATGTAATTCACAAACAGTTCAAGTGCTGGTGTTCTGCCGCCTGACCGCCCGCCTCACTCCAAAGGTCCAGATCAAATCAGCACCACAATCCCATATTCGCGTGAACAGACCGTGCGCGGAACAGACCGTGCGCCTCTCAGCGTCTCAGCACAGATGTGCAGCCAGCTACGAGCGGTCGAGAATTTCCACTCTGTGATAAGCAGTCTTGTTGGCTACCTCCACGAGCATCTTCAGACCCCCCGGGGTTACCAATTTTTTCCAATGTTTGTTCTATCCGATCAGCCATGACCGCCAAGTCATCGGTAGCGGAACTCACCTGTAGCAACTCCTCCAACGACAGGTTCTTCAAGTCTCGGGATAGACTCTTGGCCTCCCCACTCCATGGATATGAGGGCAGGGTCTTTCCAATTATCTTCTCGACAATCTCGGCTAACGCGAATAGCTTCAACGTGGCGGCGTTCATCTCGGCCTTGCTCAGTTCGCAACTGTACTCCACCCCGGCTGTGCGATGACCATCATCAGCATCATGGACTCGACTGCGGCTTCCACGAAACCTGCGTGATTCCCTCCCACCTACCAATCTTGACCTCACCGGATTCCGAAAGCAGTATGGTGTCAGCGTTCAACGCCGCGAGCGCCCTGCCGCATCCGCGCAGGTATTGGATGCCTTCGAGAACCTGTGTCGTGTGAGCCAAGGACGTGTTTCACCAGCACACCCAGCACCTACCGGCCAGATGATCGCTGCAAGCTCGCTCTCCGTGACCGGACACTTCAACGCCAATAGTTGACTGACAGAAAGCTCCAGCGGCTCCCAAACGAGGAACACGTGATTTTCATGGAGAAAACATTCTTTGAGACTTGGGAAGCTTGGATGGGTGATCCGACTCATAAAGTCTAGCATCGGTTTGATCGTTGTACGTGTTTGTTGGAGCTTCTCCACGTTGACTAGCTCTGCATTGTTCTCCCGACGCCGCGCGAGTATCACCTCTCGACTCAGGAATATCTGCATAATAGCCTCGTGCGTCCGCCACGGATCCTCGTTGATTTGTGGGACTGCAGGCCGCCCTTTATTCATCAATCTCAAGGGCTCCGGTGAAAGTTTTGTGTGGGATATCGGAGCATCCGAAAGTTCACGGGATGGTAAGGTGGGACCGGACGAAATTCCTAGGTTGTCCCAATTTGGCGATTCGGCGAGCATCATGGTCGACGGGCGATGTTGGGAATCCATCTCCGACAGCGGAAGATTGAGTGAAGAAAGGGAGGTGAATATTGTATGCAGACAACAATCGAAATCGAGCTCCCTGAAGCCCCGAAGATTTCTACGATTAAGAGAGTTGATTAGCAGGGGGACTTTATCTATAATGAACGCTTTTGGGTTGGCATTTGGAGTGCAAACACTAGTTGCTGTGATTTCAATATTCTGACTGATTTGTTGGCCATGGTGGCTTGGCGTCTTTCGTCAAAAGCCCACGTGGCCTACAATAAACACCTCAAGAAACCACCGTCCAAGTCGACTGTTGAATTACCGTCTCCGTGGCATGACACCTGCCTCGAAGATGCAGCTTCCTGGCAAATGTTTGCATGGGTCTCTCCGGGTAGGGCAGTGCTGTCATGATGGACGGCCGCCTCGTCGAAGGTGCCCGGTTTACTTGAGTCAAGTTCCGGACATGTGCCGGATGGGCGTCGGTCTGTTGCTACGATCCGCCCGGCGGTGTCAGGCGCAAATCACCTACGGCTCGTAACGATCAGGAGCCCGTGTCGTTCTATCCGATCGACGCAGTGGTGGCGGATTTGAGGGTGCAGAGGTCGTAGGGAGACGTGGATATCCTACGTGCTCTGACCCTTGACGCACCCTGTGGGGACTTGCCCGGGCGGCAGTTGTCGACGCTCCTGCCGGTGCAGGAGAGATCTCGGCAGGAGGCGTGATGGGAACGGGCGGTCGCTGGTTGTCACGTCTCGTGGTTGACCAATTCAAATGGTCTGCCACCGAGGCCAGCTCTTGTCGTTGAGCCCGTAGAGCCCTCGCTGTTGGCGTGTCATAGTATACATAAAATGGTCCGTCGTATTCACTGCTCGCTTAGTTAGCCATTGCACCCCAAAAACTAGGAAAGAGACGATAAACGCACCATGTTATGCAGGAGGGCCCTCGTCCGGACCAGCGAGACCGAAGCCACAACGACATACACCCTAAATGCACTTGAGAGGTGCACCTTCCACACTTCAAGACGACGGGCTCAGTCTGGTCTTCCCCACGACAGATTCCACAGCTCTCGTCTCCTAAACTGGATGATGAATTGGAACTTCGCAGGCGAAGACAAACTTCTCCTCCGTCCTCTCTTTCGATAGGCAAAACGGCTGGATGGGCCACCGAAACATCCCAGGGGGCCCGATTCTCTCGCAAAGCAGCCTCAGTCAGTCTTCGACCAGAGAACTGGGATGACTCCGCAGGTCTAGTATCGGCTGTTGGCAGGGCAGGGTCAGGCCTGTCGGATGATACTGGAGGACTCGGTCTTGTGTGCTGCACATGAAGGTGAGCCTCTGATGATAGCGCCTGTTCCCCTCTAGCAGGTGGTCGTGGTGTATACGCCTGAGCTTGGTTGCGGATGGCGGCTGATTCCCACCGCTCTCGGACATCGTTAGCCTGAAGTCGACGATGCCACCGAGCACAAAGGAAATGAGGGACGATATCATGTAGCCTGTCTTGAAGGACGGAGAGATCAAACGGATGGCATGCAAGAGCATTCAACTTCTTGACACCTGCTTTGTGGACGTCCTCTGTTACGTAGAGTTTGCAAGGTTCTCCTCGCTTGGTAAGACCACAGCATGTCCTGTTTTCTTTGGCCGGTGCACCACAGATCGCGAACGCGTCCCATAGGAGTGGAGATTGAGGCATTATGACAGCTAGGTGAATAGAATGTGTGAGTACGAAAAGGCGGCAAGATAGAGTGTCGTGTACAACGTTGATGAAACAAAAACCGGAGTTGAACTTGAGCCACAACCAGGCATTTTATAGTTCTTGCTTTTGATAACGCACGGTAGTATTGGGAAGTTGACCGAGTTGAACTTCTGCTGCCCTGGTTCCCGGTATCAATGGTGGTAGTTCCCAGTGTCAATGATGGCAGGTCCCAGGATGAGCAGTGCTCCCAGGAGCGTACCATGAGACCTCTGGGAGTCACCAAAGCCGCCCCCCGGAACGGAATCATATACTCCAGGAGCCACCGGTCCCCGCTAAGCAGCCGTGCATTTACCCTGAGCCCTGTCAGGTTATCGAATGTAAAGCCCCCCTGCATATCAATTGAGGTGAGAGATTATCTTCGTTTTGTATATATATGGGGACGCATGCTCTGCCAAATGCTTTTGATATCTCTTATAGGCCTCCATCTTTATTTGCCGGCCATGACTATCAGTTCAGACAACGTCCTTCAGCTCTTGGGCTAAGTGATCGGTGATCCCTTGCACCGGGAAGATTGTATCTGGGTGGGAGACAATAGAAAACGATGTCGAAACGCTGTACCGAAATCATCCCGAGTGGAGGGAGCATCATGCCTGCAGGCGCTTCAAGATCTCTCTTTGAACTACTCAACGACGCAGAAGCTTGCCTTAGTGGGGAAGTTCTTGCTCTGCTCGAAGTGCAGACGCCACCGCTGCCGACCTAGGCAGTGGGCTGAAAGCTTGATACATACGTTGGGTATGCAAGCCGATCAAGCCGACAATGTCGCCGCTCTCAATCCAGAGAACCATGCAGGAGCCTTACAGCGAGGGCAGTGGCATTCTAAGCGCCCTTTTGGGATTGACACAAGCAGCTGGCTGTGATTAAGTCTGTCTACGCCATGACCATGTCTTCAGGAGAGGAGGAACGATGCGGATCTTGCCCCGACCGGGACACGGAAGGAGGCCGGCCTAAGAGCAAAAGTGTATAGACCACACCTGTGAAACGCTACGGATCGTGGCGTGCCTCTATTATGAGCAAAAACTATTCAGTTCCGACAACCCTCAGGTGCCTCGAATATCTCAAATCAAGCCATGAAAAGCTGCATTTACAACGTGAACTGGCTAGCCACCTGACTAACGGTTCTTTATCACGACTCATGTGCGCACCAAATAAAAACGGTCCCAGCCACGAAAACATCATATGATGCGTTCCGCTCCCTTTATGGCTGACGATTCATTCTCTCCGGTCCCTCGACATGCTTCTGTGTTGACGTCAGCTGATCATGGATCCGGGAGAGGCTGTCCATGGCGACTTGCGGACCGTTCCGGGAATGCCTTCCTCAAACTGCTCGTCATTTCCACCAAGGGATGCTTCTGGCGATGGGGCAGCTGATCGCCGAACGCGTTCCCACTCGAAAGGATCCCCGAGGGCACTCGAATCGGAACGGGCCCGGCTTATACTCGGTCGATGTTCCTCCAGGACACGGTGCAGCTTCTGCGTGAGCTTTTGGATATGACAAAGGGACTTTTGGTGCTTCATACTGTACGGCCCTGCAATAGAAGTGATATGGGAATGTTGGAGATTGATCTGATTGGGGATGAGAGAATGTATAATAACATGGTCATTGGAGCCTCGTAGGAAGCACGCCTACTTATATCACGTTAATTGGATACATCTTATTTGCTTTAGTCTAGGTAAAGTACAACAGTGGCTGAAAACCACCAGGAGCTGTACGGTTCAGCTGTTGAGCCCACAAGGATAATCATATGCCCGTCAGCGCGCTGGTTACCACCACGCATCAACTATCCGTTTCCGCAGCACTCGCGCCCGTGGCGGCCGAGTTCTCGTGAATACTGCCGCTCTCACTCTCTGGCTCCCGCTTTTCGACTTCTTTCAACACCGCATCAAGTATTGCGTTCGCAGACTCCCGGTCTTGACCATTCCCGTTGGCTCGGCGTTCCCCCAGCATATGGTCTACCAATCTCAGAGTGAGATCGTAAAAGATCTCCGCCAGCCTGGAAACTTGGTCTAGCTCATCGGTGGCTTGTTTCAAAGCCGCCTGAGTAGCTCTGTGCTCTTGCTCAAGTTTCGCGTGAATTCGCTCCGTCCGGAGTGCTCGGGCGTCAAGTCTGGTGATGGTGCGGAGAAGCTCCTGGCTCTTTGTTAGAGATCATGCTTCCCGGGCTGAGGCCAACGTACCGAAACGTCCATCCCAAAATACGAAGGTCCGGGACTGGGCCGGCGCTGTTCGGTGCATGAGGGTTCCATTTTTTGTCGTGTTATACTAGAGCTAGTATTGGTAGACGAGATATTTGCCTGTATGTTGTGTCAGAGCTGTGTAATCAGAGGTGTCAGTAGCCACGACACTCTTTTTATAAGGCTTCTCTGCGACTGCGACCATCTAGTGGCCGGGATATTCTCGTTTGGGAAGCCCTTAGGGGCTGCTGAGTCTCCAAGGGAAGCCAAGCTCAGATGCTGAAATTATAAACGTTGGGAATGCCGTGAGCGCCGGGGTTGCCCGGTCGAATGTAACCGGTATCAACACCCGACGTTGTTCTCCGTCATAACCATAACCGAACGATCTGAGTGCCACGGCTAGCGAGCCCTCGATGCAAAGCATTGGGATAAATACTTGAATTCCAGAAGAAATTCTGGGCATTTGGAATGATTGTTACAGTATCAAATAGCACGGCGTTAAAGTATTTTTTAGAAATGCTCTATGCTAATGCTCTTAGCTGTCAGCAATGCACCAACTTAGATAGTCAAACCGATGTACAGCAGACAATATGTGGCTTCTTGGGGGTTTCCCTACAACTGTCAGGTTTATTCGAGCTCCCAAACGTAGCAGCTATCCAAACATCTGTTGTGCCGCCGAGAGCCTGGAGGTTGTATAATGGATGTGGCTACGATGGCGGGGCTCTTGATAAAGGACATCATCCTGTCGGCTGGTTGCACCCACACATGGGATAAGATAAATCAGCGGCCGCCCGCCGCTAGAGGTCCAAGGCAGAAAATCCTGCTTTGATCCCGCTTCCCTTTCCACTAGTATCTCAAAGATCAAACGGTGATCGAAAAGGCTGCATCCTGGCTTGCAAATGATCGTGAGCCGTCTTTGGATATTTTCTTTGTCGAGTGAATTCTGTGCCGACACTGCCAATATTAGCACAATGATCGAAGAGAAAAGGAATTCAATCACCGCAGACATCTCGCGATCAGAAATCTCGCGAATACGCGAGGGTATATCAGAGCCGTGTCTTTAGTCAAGCTAGTTGAGACTTGGAGCTCACAACGATAGC